TGAAGGCATTGTTTTAAAACCGACTAAGCAAGTAATTTGACCGTACAAGTAGCTATCTCAACTTTGCAAATATTAGAACCGATACTTCTTGAATGAGTTTATTGTTGGATTGAACCGGATGTGTTCCTTTCTTTAAGGCTGCAGTGAGCACCTCACTGGTAAACGTGGTCTCATCATGTCGCCTTACTACCCCGGATATTATACAACTAACAGTTGGTGTGAATGGCGTATAACCGCTCCTTTTGGTCATGTGATCAGATTTCAATTCGTTTATTTTAACCTGGAACGAGGGGACACGCGATGCTTAAATGACTATATTGAGGTGTTTGATGGGAATTCCGCAGATTCTACCTCCCTTGGCAGATTTTGTGGTCATTATTACCCAGAGATGTTGGAATCTTCATCAAATAACATGCTAATCGTGTTTAAATCTGATAGCAAGGTAGTGCGCACGGGATTCAAAGCGGAGTATTACACAAGAAAAGGTACATCAGAGTTTTGTGCTACACGCTTCATTTATGTAAAATGTGAAGTGCTCCATAGCTTCGACTTGTAACAGGTCAAAATACGTGTGCCAAAATTGCAACATGGCACTGAAGCTTACAGGACAAAATTGCAAATGTACGGGGTTTTCTTTACCTCTTAACAACCACGAGAAACTTAGAAAATAGGTCAGAAATAAGAATGTACTTCGTTCTGTCAAAATTGAGGTCAGCGAAACTGGCCAAAAACCCCGAAAAAGGTTCAATTTTACATCAACAAGAAGGAGATCATACAATTGCGCAAACTGTGGAGTTACGTTAACAAAACCTAGCACTGCTTTAGTCGAATCGTAAACCCATTGCAAAGCTTACCAAAAGCCAATATGAATCAGACAAGTTTTTGCTAGATAACGAAACTAAGCAGGCCTCTGTTCGAAATAATAGGGGAATCATTCGAAGCCCTTTGTTGCCATACCGTGACAACAAAGCACATGAATCATTACGTACTTTTTATGCAACTTACAACGTTTTAGTTTGTATTGTCAATGGTGAAGAAAGAGTTTCGTTCATAACTTTTCTTTTGGCTTTCAGAAGAGGTAGATCAATGCAAGATGAAACCAGGTAATCCTGAAATATATATATATTATGAATTAAACATGTGCAGGGGGTTGATAAACCGACCATCCTAGGTATTCATACGGGAATGGTTCAATGGCCAGACCTGGTTGAATGCCTATACAGAAAGCAGCCTCGTGTGAACAAGAATCTTCTCTAGAATCGTTCTTCGACAGGAGCCTATGAAATATAGCCCAAGAATGGATTAAAAAAAAAAAAAAAGAAAAAACAGGGGAAAGGCACATGCAAAAATTAAAATGTTATATTTCCGCGTATATATTTTCCTTTGCGCAGATTGTCCAGTTGGTTCTAGATGTTACACTGTAAAAGGAATGCCACAGCGATATGTGTTGGAAGCGGCAGAGTCCATTGCGAGTATACCATGGAATATATCAAGTCTGACATCAGCGCTGTAAGTCTGGCTGTCTGATAAGTTTAATAGTTTTTTAGTCTATAAGTCTCAAAGATAAAACTTTCATTAATTTTTCAAGCTTGATTAACATTTGGTAATTTGAGATTGGGGTAATCCCACACTGTAGCTACGTGTTTGTAGTTGTAGTATTGACAGTCGAACTCTAATTTCACTACACCAGTTTTTGCGTCACGAGATGGTAAATCTGTAAGAGCAAATCTTTCGACTGTTACTATTTATTTTAAGTCGAGGTTGATGGCCAGTCGGTTTCACGTCAGGTTAAGTCTAAGTTTGAGCCTAAAAGGCCGTCTGTCAGGCGCTTATCTGCGGGTTCCGTAGTATGGTAGCCACTCCCACCTGACTTGACGAGAGCCTACCCCACGGTCACCCCACAGTATTTAATCATGTTACTCTTAGCCAAAATTTTCAATCGCAAAAACTCATAACGTCTCTGTACAGTTACATTATTATCATTATTATCGAGTGCCCCTATGGCATCGAGGTTTGTGTGCGTTTTCAGTGCATCATAATGCTAGTAGTGTGATTTGATNCCTTTTATTGAATACTCATTTGCATTCGTATCGGGTTGGTGAATCTTTTAGGATTTTTTTAAGAAAATGTTTTACAAACTGGAAGATGCTCTTGTTGTTATCAAGTACTTCCTTAGTACTGAACTTTGAACCCATTTTCTCTTTAACCGACCTGTTTTTTATGCTAACTAATTTTTGGTGGCTTCTGTCTGCCTTCATCAGAGCTACAATGCAAACAGGCTCTTTACTGCTCGCGTTACAAACCCGTGCGCTGTCTTTTTAAATTCTGAATTAGAGGCACGTAATCGGGAGGGAGTGGTTTCCTCTCGCTGACAGCTTGGCTGTCCAAGGTGGAGATCCTTGACTCCAAGCAAAGCCTCTTGTGGCAGTTGGTTATACCTTGTTCAAAGATCCGGGCGTTTCTTGGGTGGATGTTGTGATCCGTGTACTCAGCCTGTCGTTTGATTGCTGATTCGCTTTTGCTCGCGCAACCAATCGCAATACTGGTAGTAGTATTTTTGTTGCATTAGCACTTAATGTCGAGATTAAGGTTGTCACGAATCTACCCTGGCCAGGTGTGCTGGTCTAATGCTACCTGGTTTGGACCTTGGACTGAACACTGGCAGGGTCACTGTTTTGTATCCCTGAGCTAGAAACTCAGCTACAACACTGTGCTAGTCTAACCCCGAATTGAGGTAGAACGTTTTCATCACAACACGGCACCCGTGTTGGTGGTCCTGGGCGTTGAAATTTCTACCCCTTGGTAATTGAGCACATGTATTTTCTAGTGTACATTTTGGGGACCAACATGGCAGCCGTGTAAGTGCTTTTTTATACGGTTGAAAATGAAAAAATACTTGTGACGCATGCCAGTTGATCTATTCAGAGCTAGAGGTTCTTCTCCTTTTAGGGAAGCTGGTCTAATAGCTGTGACTGAAAGAGTTCTAACTTTTTGAATTTTTTATTTCAGGTTAAACATTGCATTTGAATATCGGTTTTTCTTTCTCTCTTTCTCTCTCTCTAAAGTTTATTTGGTGGAAGCAAAATCGCCCAGCTGAGGAACACAGATTTTCAATCACTGTCATCTCTCATCTACATGTAAGTCAGTGCTTTTCATTGTAAATCACTAGTTCAAGGGTTCTTGGGAGATGAACCTAACCTTTTGTCTCTTTTATGACAGAGATTTGAGCCACAACAAAGTATTCCAGTTAGAAATGGAGACGTTTCGAGGTTTATCATCTCTAGAAACTTTGTAAGTTGCACAGATTGAATAGTAGACGAATACATGACCATCCAAGAGACAAGGGAAGTTTACAATCGTTCCCAATAAGAGCCAATTTGGCACATTTGCTGGTTAACTCATCAAACACGGGTTACGAAATCTTATCCAATGTAAGAGAATATTATTTTGGTAGGCGCATCCGAGCTTTATTTCTCTGCTCACTCGCATAAGCGGCCTGGCGCGTAAAAATAAACCACCATATTAAATAAATATATTAGAAAGTCATATAACAGACTGTTAATTTTGATATAATTCATTATAGACAGGGAGACATCATTAATTTCAAGAGTGTTTGGCGTAAGCTAACATAAATATTTCTAACATTAATAGTTTGTAATTGATAGTGTTTTAATTACGTCTACAGGAGACTCAACAACAATTTTCTTAAGGAACTCAATGACGACGTTTTTAAAGGACTATCTCGCCTTCAATCGTTGTAAGTTAGTACTCGTAGCTAGGAAAAATCTCATAAATGAAATGAAATGGAAGTGAACAAAAATACGTGTAATTGACCTCTGAAATCCCTCCTAAAAATAAAGTGTATGAGATGGATTGTGGACAAGTAAACGCTACATTTTTAGCTATCGACAACTTAGCACTTTCCCTCTACGGAAAGGCGGGGAAACGGCTTTAGTTGTGAACAACTAACAGTTTTCGACAATGACATTTTTGACCGTTTTTTCCGTGTGTGGGGATCATTGGTTAAGTTGTCGTCAACTATCGTTACCATATTGAAACGTGTAGTGTTTTGAGCATATGCAGTGAACGTTAGTTCCCAAGGTCTCGCGATCTGACTTAGACAGTGACAACTAAAACTCCAATGAATGTGTGGAATGCACACATCGAACAGAATTATATAGTTGTTGATAACATTTAGTTGTCGACAACCAAATGTCTTGTCTGTTGAGGTCCAAGCATTTTGAGTATTGTGCCCCATAACTAGAACTGGCTTATAACTTAATAATACGGTCATTTCTTGCAGGGATCTTAGTGAAAACCTCCTTGCTGACATTCAGGAAGGCGTCCTGAATAATTTGACGAATTTGCAAATCTTGTGAGTAAAGGGAAGCCATTTGAATAAAGAACTTCCACGTGGTATTTCTCTCAAGGCTATATTTTAAATTCAGCTTCAAAACGACTATTATATATACTAAAACAAGTGACTTTTCTTTGCTACTTCAGGAGTTTAAGATTTAACCGTATTCACATCGTCAACAGAAATACCTTTAGATACACGAGGCGACTGTCACATCTGTAAGTATGAGGTGGTCTGTTTAAAGGACAACTGGTACAATCCGCATTATGGTTAGAAACGTTTAGATCTTTTTACACCAGATTAACTGCATATTTTTTTGTAAAAGTAAAACTCAAAATAATGCTTTTCCGAGGTCATCGAGAAGGCAAGGCAAACTGATCACGTGAGACTCAGGGCCCGAGACAACCCTTCCCTCCCGAGTTACCGTGGNAAAACCTCCTTGCTGACATTCAGGAAGGCGTCCTGAATAATTTGACGAATTTGCAAATCTTGTGAGTAAAAGGAAGCCATATGAATAAAGAACTTCCACGTGGTATTTCTCTCAAGGCTATATTTTAAATGCAGCTTCAAAACGACTATTATATATACTAAAACAAGTGACTTTTCTTTGCTACTTCAGGAGCTTACGATTTAACCGTATTCACATCGTCAACAGAAATACCTTTAGATACACGAGGCGACTGTCACACCTGTAAGTATTAGGTGGTCTGTTTAAGGATCGGACAACTGATAGAAATTATACTATCGTCCAGATAGAATGAAGGAAAAACTGACAAATACATATATATATCGCGTTTTCCTTGACAATCCAAAGGCGCTGATCATAGACAATGACCCTAAAAATTATCGTCAAAAAATTCAAAAAGAAAGAAATTAAACTAATTGCAAATATATGTAAGATATACTGGAAGGCTGAAAATTACATAAGGTTTTCAAATAAAATCGGCGTTATGGTTAGAAACGTTTAGATATTTTTACACCAGATTAACTGCATATTTTTTATATAAAAGTAAAACTCAAAATAATGTTTTTCCAAGGTCATCGAGAAGGCAAGGCAAACTGATTACGTGAGATTCAGGGCCGGTTTTTATGGTCTCAGGTACCCGAGACAACCCTCCCCTCACGAGTTATCTTGGCCGTTTCACTGATATATGTCACTTTTAAGTTAGAGCTCTTTCTGGAGGAAATCTTTTATATTATTTTACGTTTTGTTTTCCTAGGTACCTTGATAACAATCTTATCAGCAGTATTCAGGAGAGAGCATTCGCGTCTCTTTCAGAGCTGGAACATTTGTAAGTGTCTCTATATTCACTATCGACAGAATTTAATTCTCATCAGTGAAACGTCATTGTGAAGTAAGTTTTATACACATGGCTCAAGAGCATCTAACTGATTGCTTCGTGTTTCAACGTACATCATAGAGTTATGATTCACCGCCAATTTAAAGGTAATTTCGAAAAATACTTTTCTATATAAAACGCCTCTCAGAAAATATGCACTAGTAAAGTGTCTGTACCTCTGTGCTATCAATAGATTAAATTACAGAGAATCTACTGCGCCTTGATATAAAATGGTCAGCCTGTCTGTCTGTTGATTGTCTGCCTGCCAGCCTCTCCTGTTGTTTTTCTGCAGGTTTTTCCGTTGGTCTCTCTGTCTATCAGCCTGTCAGTCTTTCTGTCTGTCTATCTAGAAATGCCCCTTCAATCCATGTTGCTTCAAGTGACCTATTTTTTTTAGACACCTTCACAACAACAACCTCAAAAGACTTACCAATACTGCCTTTACTGGCCTGCGGTCACTCACAACACTGTAAGTCGATTATTTATTTGGGTTTGTTACTGTGTTAATTGAAGTACCCGTTGCCCCTAGTTACAGGATATTATACTTTGATACTACAGCGTGTACTACTGCATGTTAACCATGGTGTTGAATAAAGTAAAGTTGACTTTACTCCTTTTTCTCCTCTTCCTTAATCACCTTAATCAAATCATATATTAACGTAACTTTGTTATAGCCACACAGTACAATGAGCAGCTTTGGTACTGGCCATTCTTAGTGTTTTTGAGCTGTTGGACGAGGAGAGGAAAGATATTTAAGGCCATAGAGTTTTTGACCGTAGTACTTATTGAAAACCTGTTACTATATCTCAAATGAAAATCTTCATTTTGACTTATTTTTTGGATATAGGCGTCTACATGCCAATGGAATTGTTGAAAGTGAAATAACGACGGATACTTTTGACGACCTAGTCAACCTAAAGAAACTGTGAGTATTGTAGCAGGTCGGCTGCTTGTCTCGGAATTATTCTTCACGCTATATTACACAACAATACTCAATCACCTAGAGACAAGCATTGCTTCCTTGTCTGTTTCTGTAACTCCTCTCTCTTTCTTAGTCTTAAATATACAGCTATTGTAGGCCTTTCAGGCACTTCTCCTAAATTATCCCGTAGTATCTAAGGTGTTTACAACAAATGAATATGATCAACTTTATCCGAGCTTTGAAGGAAAGTTAACTGGGAAAAAACTGAAATGCTGCCTTATAGAAAGAGTATAAAGGCAAAGGAACATTTTTAAAGAGAAGGAACTTGGGGTCAGGCGAAAAAAAAACTATATATATTAAGAAAAAAACAAGGACCTAATTGGCCTCAAAATAAATTGTTGGTGAAGTTCTGGTCCAGGGCTCGAACACAAAGTAACGAAATTGTTGCTGAAGTGAGGCTTATCTTGTCCCCAGGTTTTAACTAGCAAAGAAAGACTCGCTATCCAGATTTACGAAAGGCTTTCGTTTCTTTATTTAGAACCTTGGACAGTTTCATTCTCTGCTGTTATGCTAACAAGGCTATAACAGATCTAATGTGTGACTCACCCCAAAATGAATTCTCCAGTTGTGAAGACATGATGAAGAACCCAGCGGTACGGGTCTGCCTTTGGATTCTGGGCATCATAGCATTAGTTGGCAATCTATCAGTGATATTCTGGAGGCTGGTGCACACCGAAGACAGCAAGGTGCAGTCATTTCTGTTGAAGAACCTCGCCTTTTCTGATTTCCTGATGGGCGTCTACCTCATCATTATTGCTGTGCAGGACACTCGTTGGCAGGGTGAATACTTCATGCATGACGTGCAGTGGAGAGCGGGTACAATATGTCAGGTCACGGGTGCTTTGTCTATGCTATCTAGCGAGGTAAGTTGGAAGAGTTTCCACCTATTTTTATCATTGTCTAGTGTTACTTCTCTGAGGTTAAACGCAAAAATGTCTTGCTTACAACTCTAAACACATGTAAAGACATGAACGCCAAGGCATACCAGCCCTTCAGGTTCAGTTGAGCTCTCTGACTGTGTATCGCTAGACTCGTCACAAGTCTTCTTCTCAGCTCAGTTGGTAGAACACTGCACCGGTCAGTTCGCAGAGGTCATACCGCTCACGCCTAATTTCAGGCTTTATGTTCACAGCTGCTTAAGTTGTGCATATAACGGCGATTATCACTCATGTCTTTTTGGATCTTTTTTCGCTTTTCAAATATTTGATCTTTCATATCATTATGCACTTGCATTCTTAACACTGTTAGGAAGTCAGCCGACGGATTTTGTATAATGATACAACTGGTAGAAGTTTTAGTAGATAGGATGGTATCCATCCCAGAGTATTCTCCATGGTATTTGCAATGTTAACCGAACAGTCCGGCGCTGTGAGAGCTGTCTTCTAACCCAAGATATCCGAACATACCTGCTCACTCCACAGGTTCATTTGAACTCTCCGACAGTGTATCACTAGACTTGTCACAAGTCGACCTCTTCACGGAGCAGAACTTCGCCAACCACTATTCAGAGCACCTCCAATACAAACGTGATACACACAACTCAGTAGTGAGGCTAGACTGCAGTCAACTCCCTGTCAACCGGAACACCTCAGCGGCAAGGAGAAGGACCCCAGCCTTAATAACGATTGTTTATTCTAATTGTTTGTCCGTAAATAATTTCCTTTATTGTTTACCTTAAAAGGTCTCCGTAATGCTTCTATCCATCATCACCGCCGATAGGCTCATCTGTATCGTGTTCAGTTTTCGTGTGCAGCCCTTGTCCCTTAAAGCCTGTCACGTCATTTGCTTGGGTGCGTGGACACTGGGATTCGTCCTGTCCTTCTTGCCAATGTCAGGTCTAAGTTACTTCTATGATTCAGAGCACGGACATCGCTTCTATGGACGCTCTACAGTGTGTCTGGCTCTGCAGCTCTCAGATGACAGACCACCCGGCTGGGAATACTCAGTCAGCATATTCATTGGGTTGAATTTACTTGCCTTCCTGTTCATATCGCTCGCCTACTTGGCGATATTCTTGTCTGCGGTTAAATCGTCAAGTTCGATCAGATCAACGAATGTTAAACGACAATCAGCTCTCGCCAAGCGAGTCGCTTTCATCATTTTAACAGACTTCTGTTGCTGGATGCCTGTGATCGTTGTTGGCATCTTATCACTGACAGGAAGTTTCCATGATCCCGAGAAGCAGGTGTATGTGTGGATGGCAGTGTTCGTACTTCCGGTCAACTCATCTGTAAACCCCATACTGTATACAATCGCCACGCCTCAGGTGCAGGGATGGCTGTGCAAGGATTCCACTGCTGCCAAGGGTAGGTAAAGAACCAGATATCTACGTTTTTGTTAAAAAATAATTCTAACTTTGGGATTAAAGTTTCCTAAAAAAAAAAA